GAGAAATCTATTTTTCCCTTGAACAATTAACATACACAGATGGTCATCAAAATTACCAAGTGAATTTAGAATGAACTTTGTGACAAATGGTGCTAATGAGTCCTCTTAGAAACTAGCTAAATCATTTGAGAAGTATGTAATCGATTATATCTGTTCAGCTATATAAAAGGGGGAGATTTCTGTCTTGGCAATCAGTGAATTGCTTGTAATGTGCATAACATTCTAGTCTAATGCTTATTCAATAAAAAACAWTTTTTAAAAAACTTTCTCTTCTGTCTTTGTATAAAGRTTTTCTGGGTTGGCAAGAGGTTTTGTTTTTAATTATATTTTTCCAACATTAGTTTAGGCTACATTTTGAAACCAACTGAACAGTATGAACAAATGCAGAACTTTACATTTCTCTCTAGAATTTACCTCATTGGTTTCCAGCCTGTTGAATTCTTTTTGAATATTTGCTTCTTTGAATTTTGATTATATTATCCCACTTTATGTCATCTGTAAAACTGATTTAAATTTGTTTTCTGCTTTCCAAATCATTAGTAAGTTCTGGAAAGGGATTGGGATGGTCATTGTAGCATTCAATTTACTTTATTAGTCATTGAACTGCTGAATATCATGTACTGTGCTAAGTGTTGGGGCTACAACTATGAACAAGACCATCCTCTAGTAGCTTAATAGGCAAAGAAAGGCCACTATAATACATTATGCTGCAACATGCTGCAGTAGGGAGATAGGAAGAGTGTTGGGGTTCAGATGTGGCTTCTTAGGAAAGTTGGCAACACTGTCATCCCCATGAGTAGGAACGAGGTGAAGGAGAAAAATGGTGGTACAGGCAAAGGAATAGTGTTTACAAACACCCAGAAGTATGAGACTATGGTATGTATAGATAACTGCAAATACATAGGTCATTGTAGTTGGAGCAGAGTAATGGGGAAGGATTGGAAAATAGGCAGAAACCACATTGCTGTGCTTAAGTACAATTTCAACCACCAATTGCACCATCATCTGGCTTATGTTTCTATTTGATCTGTGTATACTTCACCATTTAGTTATGTAAAACAGGTACACTGGGCATCTATCAAATCTCCTGTGCTGGTAATTCTACAGGAGCAAATGAAGGTAGCTTGACAGGCATATTTATTATTAAATTTATGTTTATTCCTGGTAATCACTTTCTCAGAAAAAAATTTAACACAAATCATCTATACAATAGTCCATTCTAAAAGGTGCATAAATTCTTAACAGAGCTGAGGATTAAAGGAGTCTCTTTAATTTCTGGCATACTTAAGTGGATTTTSTTTTGCATTGTTTTATTGTTGTTTATTGTTTATATTACACTATGGACAGTTTCTGTCAGTGCCTCAGTATGAATTTCCCTTGARCTAAGACAGAAATACATTGTTTCCAGAAATACTCCCAGTCCTCTTTATTAATACTGGACTCAGATTCTTCCTATATATGTTTCCTGTTTTTGAAGAGCATGAAAAACTATCAAAATAATAATAACTATCAAAAAGAATTCTGCCTTATAACATCAACTAAATCATACATTGGGTCTTTGGGTCTATCCTTTCCTCATTGAAAGACATACTTGAAAGTTTTTTTGTAAACCTTAACTTAGTTCATATAAMATGCAATCCAAGCCAAAAGTCAACTAAGGTAAGGGTAGGGAAAGGGAATCCAACAACTGAATAAAGATTCTACCTGGACTATATACCCTACAAAAGAGTTGGGAGAAATGTTTACAATTAGAGGACACAGGCATCAAAATAATGAGAATCTTGTCCCTAGGACAGAGTATTAGGGTTATCCCAAGAAACAGAAGAGASATTTATTATTGGAGTTGGCTAGCATCATTACGAAGGCCCTTATGGCCTGCTGTTTGCAAGCCGGAGAACCAGGAAAGCTGGTGGTTCAATTCAGTCCAAGTCCAGTGGCCCAAGAACATGTAYGGAGCCACCC